AACCCACACAAAGTTTTCCAACTAGAAAACAAACCATATGAAAGTTCCAATTTCGATCTCATTTTCATCGTGGACACGAGTTAATATGTTTATATAGACAGATAATCAGATTTTGACACGTGACTAGTGAACGCATCTTAACGTATCCACGGTGGATAGACGAACATTTTCACTAAACAATCCTATTCAATATTGACTACATATTATAAACATTAAAATTCATGTTCAAAACATATAGATTAACAACAAATCAATACCAACACTAAAGCAAAGCTTAATATGTGAAGGATTTCCTTTTCTTACCCTTTTCATGGCCAAATCAAAGCCAATTCAAGAGGGAGAAGAGTAATGTTCCGAATTACCCGTCTCTGCTCACTGTAATAAAACAATATACATGGATAAAAAAAAATGTTTAAATAATGACATAAGCCCGAGGAAATTGTAAAACTATGAAAAAAAGAAAATTAATTTTGACAATAATCAGATTTGAAAATAACAAATGTACAAACTTTTGAATGTTCACAAGGGGCTTTAAAACCTACCCCATATTTGGACAAATTACTCTCCATTTGACTTGTCTGAATTCTGCAGCCATGAGTGAGCTTTACTGAGCAAAAATAATCATAAGTAAGATCTTGTTTGGAGATCTTTTTAGAGAAAAGTTCAACAATTTGAGCTTTAAGAGCTTGTTCAAAAGACCCAAAATTTGATATTTCCCTATATTTATACGTTAAAAAATGTCGCCACAAAAAAAACATCTCAAAGAGAAATTAGTTTCTTCTGTTCATGAGCTTTAAAACTTCGAAAATAAATCTGCTTTCTGATCTCACAATCATCCAACTATGAGGCAAAGGAGCAAACAAACCTTTTTTTTTCCAGTTAGTTTCTGTTCAATGTGCTTTAAACTTCGGTCTGCTCGTTTTAAGCTGGCAAAAGGGGTTCTTCTTTTTCACTGATTGGTTCACGATTTCTTTCTATACAGTCCCTCATCGTCTTCACTTCTTTCGATTTACCCCACATCACCGAGTAAAACCCAATAACAATGATAGTAGAGCCCACCAAACTAACAATACGGTAAAAATGGTAAAATGAATAGAATCAAGAACTAAGGTTTCATTTGTTTTTCTTTTTTTTTTTCGGTACTAACTGTTATTTTCCAAAGAAAATATTCAAAAAATTGTACCTTCCAACATAAAGAATATCGCCCGAGAAGATAAAACCGAGAGCAGCTGCTATGACAATGCTGAGCGGATGAAACATAGCAACGAAAAGTGGGCCCTTCTTACGTAGGCACCACACATTTACACTCACTTGGAATGCCGATCCGAAAATTCCCTGCGAAAAAAATAATTATAAATCAAACTAAATTTATATTTGAAAAGAAAAAAGGTTGGTCTTTTGATCTTTTCAGTCACCTACCGAATAAAGGATAGCAATCGGTCTAATGCTCGGTTCCAATGCCCAAGCACTTAAGTCCCTCTCCATAACAAGAGATGCAATGGACGAGAGAATAGCAGCGAACAAACAGTAAAAGAAGACAATAATTAGCTCGGCCGGGTACTTCTTGAGAATCAATGCCTGTTTAAAAACCGGGGGGGAGGAGTTTTAATTAATTCAAATTTCTGATTAGTTTCGCTCTTCTTTTTATATGAATTTTGTACAAGTGTACCTGTACGATTATGTAGCCGGAAGAAGCTAGACAGTCTGCCGCTAGGAATAATCCACCGATTATCAAGTTCAACTGTGGGGTTTGAATATATTCATTGAGAAAATTCGAAGGTGATTTGAAAATTGAGATTTCAGGGCCTTTGTACAGAGTCACTATAAAGGCACCAGCAATCGACACCACAGTTCCAATTGCTTTCGCGAGAAAACTCGAACTCTTACAGGCTAGCTTTTCCATCCTAAAATGTGAACAAATTATAACCTCCTTTCAAGTTATTTGAATCCATATATATATACCTTTTTATGATTGGTGCAAGTTCAAATATACTGCAAATTGTGCTCACAGTCCAAAATTCACATCTTGAACTTAAGTAACTAAGCATTTTAGCATAAGGATACAAACTTTAACGCGATCAAGGCCCCAAACGCTAAAAAAAAACTCCAGAAAAGGGGATAAAAATTATACCCGAATATGATTGCAAGTATAAAGGTGAATCCGGGAATGAGATTAAGCATTGCTGAGGCAAATGCTGCAGAAGTGTAATTAATTCCGGTATACCCAGTCAGCTGAGCCAAGCACCTACAATTATAGATAAACACAGGCATGAAAAAAAAAAAAAAGAAAAGTAGAGAGCTTGAAAAGAGATTAATTTGTTATCAATATATCTACACCGAGCAAGCCTTAGCAAATTAGGCGGGCATACTCTTTCACCAAAAGCACAAAGTGAAATGCATGCTTTTCGAAACAATGCGAAAACAACAGTTCTTATGATTTGCCAAAACTTCTTTGACCCCAAGTGAAATTAAATTCAAAAACTAAAGAACACTTCTACATAAGAAGGTAAAAATATCTCCTCTGTAAAACCCATTTCAGTAAAACATCCTCAATCTTCTGACAGACCCAAGTTTATCCCATAATCCTATCATTCATTAATAATCAGTCGAGCTTAAAACGCAACAAATGGATAAGAATCGAGACAACATACCCAAGAATATGTAAAATATCTCCTCAGTAAAGTAAACCCATTTCACTAAAACATCCTCAAACTTCCTCGCATTTTTCATTTAGAACTCAAGTTTATCCCATAACCTTTCTTATCATTCATAAGTAATCAATCGACCTTAAAAAACGCAGCAAACGGATGAGATCATAAGACAACATACCCAAGAACACCCAACGAGAAAAACCCACAAACAAGCGAGAAACTGAGTGGGGCCCGGCCCGACGACCTGCGATTTTTCCAGCCCACAAAGATTACATTTTTTTGGGGGGAAGGGGAGAAATTAAACAAGAACAGCTCAAAATACGGTCGATTATTATGACCTGTGAACGAGAAGAGATACGGGGAGGAGAATGGCGGCGGCAAGAGCGTTTGAGAATGCGACGAAGGTGTAATTAGTCATTCCGGTGGCCATGGCTCTTTTGCTGATGACGATGAGGCCCACCTGAGCTGTTGTGGACAGCACCATACCGAAATACGGCGTCGCTTCACTCTCCGGCAGCCTCATGAGTGGGAGAATCTCAGCTGCCACCGCCGTTGAATTTCCTTCCACCAGATGTTGGAGATGAATCTGACCAATCACTGATGGCCGTTCATTGAGAATTTTTAATAAACCAGATAATTAATTTAAAAAATTATATACGTACTATTTTTATTTTATAAATCTATATATATATAGGGAAAAAAATCTTTTTCACCCCATAACAAAGACACATTAAGTTTTTCACACCGCCCAATAAAAAGCTAAGTCTTTCACCCCAGAAAGTGCGAAGGTTATGCGAAAACTGTCGCATATTCATCGCATAACTGTCCATATGCGAAGGTAACGCGAAAAACTGTCGCATAACTGTCGCATATCAATTGCATAACTGTCGCATATTCATCGCACTATGCCCGCACAATTATGCAATTGATATGCGACAGTTTTTCGCATAACTGTCGCATAACTGTCATATATCAATTGCATAACTGTCGCATATTTATCGCACAATGCATTTGCACAATTATGCAATTGATATGCGACAGTTATGCGACAATTTTTCGCATAACTTTCGCATATGGACAATAATGCGATGAATATGCGACAATTTTCGCATAACCTTCGCACTTTCTGGGGTGAAAAACTTAGCTTTTTATTGGGCGGTGTGAAAAACTTATCAAGACTTCAAAACGGGGTGAAAATAGATATTTTCTATATATATATATATATATATATATACACGTCAGATAATTTATCTATGAAAAATAGTAACAAAAAAAGTCAACCAATATTTATTGCATTCTATTTTCAGCAGTTCTTTAATTTTTTTTTTACTTATTCCCAAAAAATCGATCAACTATATATGCACCTTAAATTCATGAGTTTTGTGAATTTAATTTAGGTAAATTTCGACTGATTCTTACAATTTTGCAAAAGTCAAAATTTTCTCTCATTTTATATTAAAAAAAATTGATTAATATAAAATCAAAAATTTTGAATTAGACAAAATACTATCACAATTATATTTTTCTAATTGCAACAGATAGATTGTTTATTAAAAAAACAAGGATTGCATCGAAATCAGGTTAATTTAGGTAAAATTCGGCATGACAATTTTGTAAATGTCAAAATTCTCTCATTTTTATTTTAAAAAAAAAAAGAGATTTTACCTGGATGCCAGATGGATAAGAAAGGAAGGGCAATCACTCATTCTTAAAACCAGCCTTCTTAAGTTAAGGCCAAAGAGTCGGGTGGAAAAAAAGGGGGGAAGCTCCCTATTCCTGGTTCTCCTGTAGCTGGAACCTCCGGAACCACAAGAATCCTTAGTTAGAATGAGATTCCAACTCAGCACCTTTTGAGTGAGATTTTGAGAAGAGTTGCTCTTTGGAGAGCACAGTACGATGAAAGTTGTAAGCTGTGTTCGGGGGGAGTTATTGTCTATCATTGGCCTCTATGGTAGAATCAGTCGGGGGGCATGAGAGGCGGTGGTTTACCCTGCGGCGGATGGACCATAATAATTGACTGTGGTTGGGCAAAGAAAGTTAATGGAGCATGCTTGTATTATTCCAAAATAAAATCAGAAACATCAGGATGGCATTATTAAGCTGGAAAACCAAATTTGTGACAAACTCGGCTATCCTTATTGAAACCTACAATTCAGGACTGTCTGTTATGAGAGAGCTAGGAGGAGAAAGGGATTGGGATGAGTGGGTAGATCTGCAAAAAAAGTTCATCGAGCTTACCAAGATGAAGAAATGTACTGGAAGCAGAAAGCGAGGATTCAATGGTTAAAGTTGGGAAATAAGAATACCAGGTATTTTCAAGTAAATCTAAAAAGAAAAAGGAATTGTATAGAGAGACTGGTAAGAAGGATGAAATTGTGTGTCATAATGAAGATGAGACAATTGCTGAAATAGAAGATTTCTTTTGGAGTTTGTTCACTATTTCTAAGCCAAGACTGAAACAATGCAGCTTAGAAAAAATGCAGAATGTTGTGACTGAGGAATTGAACCAAGCCCTGATTTCGACAGTGCACGAGGAGAAAAAAAAAGTATTGATGAAGATGAATCCCCACAAAGCACCTGGTGTTGAAGGTATGACACCTTCCCTTTTTCAATCTCTGTGGTCCATTGTTAAATCTGATTTATGTACAACCATTGGTTATTTTTCTCAAAACTGTTCTCTACCCCAAAAAATAAATCATACAGTTGTTACTCTCAAAACTTAGAACCCTTCCGTAATCACTTATTACAGATCAATTAGTCTTTGTACAGTAACATACAAAATCATCTCCAAGATTTTAGCAAATAAGTTAAAAATGTCCTAAATCTTTGCATTTCCCCAAACCAATCTTCCTTTGTCCCATATAGACACATTATAGATAATGTTGTCCTTGCTAATGAGGTGATTCACTTTTCGAATAGTAAGAAAAAAAAAAAAAAAGGAAAAGAGTCTTTTATGGCTTTCAAAATTGAGATGGTTAATGACTATGACCGAGTGGAGTGAAGCTTTTTTGAAAAAATTCTCTTGAAGTTCGGTTTCAGTAAAATATTTATTGCCTAGATTGTTGCCTACCTGAATTTCTTTTCATTTTCTTTTAAGATTAATAATCAACCTGCAGGTTTTGTTAAGCCTTCAAGGGGCCTTAGGCAGGGTGACCCTCTGTCACCCTACCTCTTTATTATTTTGTCAAAAGTCCTTGTAACGCAAAATTTCGTTTTATTGAATTAATAAACACAAGAACTTCGTACAAATTGATTTCAACGGATCAAATGAAATATAGTGGATTACAAATCTCTATTATTTCTCTGATTAATTTCTTCAAGAACGATCTTCAATTGGATTTGAGACTTTTGGAGACGAATCTTCAGTTTGATCTCCGCTGGTCTTTAATTTGGATTTGAATAACGTTACTTTGAGGACTTGATAGTTTGATCTCGAAACAAACGCCGTGATTTCTCAAGAACGTGAAGAACACAAGTCCTTGGTCTTCGCCGCAAAGTTGATTTTGATCTTCTCTACGCCGGTCTTGACTTTAACAACGTAATTCGGAGGCTTGACAGCTTGTTTCCGGATTGAACGTTGGTTTTGGGCTTGAACGCACTTGAATCTTCCTTCGGATCTTCAAGAACGCCTTTGGATCTTCAAGAACACTTGAATTTAGTAACGCAATTCGGAGGCTTGGCAGCTTGTTTCCGGATTGAACGTCGATTTTGGGCTTGAACGTGCTTGAATCTTCCTTCGGATCTTCAAGAACGCCTTTGGATTTTCAAGAATACTTGAATCTCGTGGAGAGAATTCTCTAAAGCTCTTGAACTTGAAACTTGAATATGAATTGTAATTTTTCACCTTAGGGAGAGCCCCTATTTATAGGTGTTGGGAGAGAAAGTCTTGAAAAAGAAGACTTAAATTTGATTAGTCCATAATTTCCAATATTTATCTCTTAATAATTATTTAAAGAGATAATTAGGAGAGAGAGCCTTGAAAAAGAAGACTTCAATTTGATTGGTCCATGATTTTTCATTTATTTATCTCTTTAATAATTATTAAAAGAAATAAATATTTATTTTACTCTACAAAAAAATGACATGTGGCATTCTTTAATTGGCCTTCAAAATATATATGTGGCATTCTTTAATTGGCTAACAATATATATTAATAATCAATTAATTAACTATTTAATTTAAGAATTAAAATTTGATTAATTTCCCAAATAAAATAGAAAATTATCAAATTGACTATGACATGGAATTTGACACTTGTCGCCATTTTATTGGCTCAAAATTTGAATGTCTACAAATCTAATCTCATTCATCAAGCTAGTGTTAATAATTCTTTCCAAGGTATTAAAATATGTAAATTTTCTCCTGCCTTAACTCGTCTCTTTTTTTGCAGATAATTCTATTTTGTTTTGTAAAGCCTATGTTTCAAATGCTAGATCCCCTTCTTCTATGTTAAATAATTTTGGTCAAGCCTATGGTCAGCTAATTAATGCTAGTAAATCCTCTATTATGTTTTCTAAGAATGCTTTGGATGAGATCAAAGGAGAGATCTATATTTTTTTTTAAAGGATTGTGGTTGTTAATTCTTCCAATTATTTATTTAGGTCTCCCATTAGGTATAGGTAGGTCAAAGTTAGAGACTTTCAAGTTTGATTCAGAAAAAAGTCATCTCTAGAGTCACAAATTGAAAAAATCATTTCTTAAGTGAGGGGTACTTTGATTAAGACTGTGTTGAATGCTTTACAGAATTATGTTATGTCTTGTTTCAAAATTCCATTGGAGGTGTGTCAGGATATTTGTAGCGCCATTGCAGATTTTTGGTGGGGGAAAAACGAGGAAGTGAAAAAGAAAACTCATTGGGGGAGCTGGGATAAGCTTACTAAGTTCAAAGAGTGTGGAGGGTTGGGTTTCAAAAATCTGGTCTTGTTTAATGAGGCTCTCGTGGTGAATCAATTGTGGAGAGTTATTACTAAGCCACAACACTTTTGCTTAGTAAGGTGCTTAAGTGTATGTACTCAGTGTTAGGCATGTCTTACAGCGTGGTCTTAGGTTCAAAGTGGGAGATGGGTGTAGTATTACTAATCCATTGTGGGTTGTTGTTGTGGTAATAGGAGCAGGGAGGGTACACTTGTGGGATTCCTGTGATTGTTTTCTCCTGTATTTTGCTATGTCCTTATTTGTATGGGGTAATATGTTTTGAGTTGAAAAAAAGACTGTACAAAAAAACAGAAAAATACTGTACAAAAAAACAGAAAAAGATCCAAAGAACATCAAAATCAAAATCATACATAATACACCATACCCACTTCCAAAGTTGAGGCATGAGGCACACTCAACACATAACTAGGCGCCCTGCAATTCCTCCTCAAAAACCCATACCCGAAATTTATCGCCATTTTCTTCAGAAAACCCGACCCGTTTTTGGCCCGTACGTACGAGTGCCCCATAATGTACGCCACCCCAGCCTCCCTCGCCTGTATCAGCTCCCGAAGCTCCTCTCGGGCCCCGCCCTCCATCTCCGGGCCCTCGGGAACCACAAATCGGACCCTCTTCCTCCGCATCCCGGGCCCTTCGGGCCCAATCTCGCCGAGGCCCGACGGGCCTAACTGGACCCCACCCGACGGGCGGGTCGAGGGCGACCCGACAACAACCATGCCCTCGCTCGGTGGGGCCCGGCC